CTTCTAGGTTTTTAATAATCCCCAGGTCACAACCCTTAAAGTGCCTCCGGCCACCGTGCACACGTAATTGCTTGTTTGTAGTTTTATTTACTTAAATGTATTTATGTGAGGTTAATATTTCAACTACTTTGCAGTTGAGATGTCAGTACGCACATGATTAGCTTCTGGGAGCTCGAGGTTTTGTTTTGCTTTTTTGTTTTTTTTGAGACAGGGTGTTGCTCTGTTGCCCAGGCTGGAGTGCAATGGCGTCAGAAAGGCTCACTGCAGCCTCCGCCTCCTGGGCTCAAGCGATCCTCCTGCCTCAGCCTCCCTAGGGCTGCAGCCCAGCTAATGTTTTGGCAGGGAGCGGGCGGCAGATCAAAAGTACTGGAATTACAGGCATGAGCCACCATGCCCAGCCTGAGTAATTCCTTAATCTCCTTTATTTAAAGAAACATGAGAGAGCATTTTGGATGTTGCTGCCCTATCATTCCAGGTCAAACCAAACCAAGAGCGGTGAGGCAGTGCCCTTGTGAATGCCTCCTGAGAGTTCCTCTGGTTCAAAGGAAGGTTACAGGCAGAAAGATGAGGGTGGGGTGCAGGAATTTCTCTAGTGGTAGAGGGTTGTTTCCTATGGAGAAGGAAAAAGTACCTCCAGCCAGACAGAATAATGGACTAAAACGGAGCTTTTAGCATTTTGATTTTATTATGGGGAAACATCTCCTAATATCCTCAAACCCTGGTTTTCACCTGCAGGGACAATGAACACTTAGTTTCTATTCAGTCCTGGGCTGCTTTTTTTAGGGAACCTTGGATGTGGTACTGCATTTACAGTAACACTGTCACCTCCCAGTTGATCTTGTAACCTCTGGCGTATTCAATAACTTTATTAAATTAGAAAAATAATATTTCCACTTTTGAAATCCAAACCATCACACACATAGAACTAGATTTTGCATGCGGAATGAATATTTTATTACTAGGTTATAAAAATAAAATACAAAATAATTTTAAAACAGAACTTAAAACACTGTACAAAGCTTTAATATGATACAAATGGGAAAATTAAATAAATAATTACATTTTTATGTACAGGTGGCCTATACAAAAGCACTCCATGTTTCTGCCAATACTCTGTCCTTGGTTGCCTGAGCAAAATTGCATAAAGGAGCTGCTCGTAGGGGAAAGGGACACAATAAAACACCTCTGGAGTTATTTCAAAGAGTAGTTTCTCATCTCTCTGATTTCAGAAAGAGGAGAAGATAGGGAGAGAAAAGTAGAATTGTTAAAGTCATCTATTCTAACTCAGTGGTCTTGTTCAACAAGAAAGAATTGTGGTTTGCGCCTGAATCTGATTTAACAGCTGATTTAACAGCTGCCAATAGCTCATTACTTTCAAGATGTTTTTATCTAATTCAAAACTAGCTGCTCCCCCCTCCCTCTTTTTCTCCTAAAAGCTGGGAACTTGTAAGTAAATGGCCAAGTGAAATAGACACTGGCTATTTTAGAAAAAGGGTCAGAAAGGGGAAAAGGAACTACGTATCAGGGAGAAGTAAGCGGGGCTCAAGCCCAGGTCATCTAGGCTTCATTTATTCAGTCTACTCAATCTAATTTCAAAGCCCCAAGTGGGCCAGTGTTATATTTCCTTTATCTTCCTTTGTTTTGTTGTTGTTGTTGTTATTTTGTTTTTTAATTTGAGACAGAGTCTCACTCTGTCGCCAGGTGCCAGGCTGGAGTGCAGTGGTGCAATCTCGGCTCACTGCAATGTCTGCCTCTTGGGTTCAAACAATTCTCCTGCCTCAGCCTCCCAAGTAGCTGGGACTACAGGTGCACACCACCACGCCCAGCTAATTTTTGTATTTTTTAGTAGAGACGGGGTTTCACCGTGTTGGTCAGGATGGTCTCGATCTCTTGACCTCATGATCCGCCCACCTCGGCCTCCCAAAGTGCTGGGATTACAGGCATTATCTTTTTATTTTTGAAAGCTTTTTCACCTTAGTGGACTACTTTATCTGGTGAATAAAGCAAAGAGATTGTTTTGGAAAAAGTCCCAAGGGCTTTCCCCTCCCTGGGTAGCTCCCTAAAATAAGTCAAATTCAAGTTCTGGTAGCCTTGTTTACTCCTTGTAGGTGAGTGAAGAATACCCACAGAGTCCAGTTGTGGTCAAATGCTGGGCATGAATTTCTCAGGATTTAAACTGCATATTATAAGAGAAAAAGAGCATCATATGGCAAGGGTAGTTTATGTAAAAACTTGGTTTGTTTACTCAATGTTTTTAATTAGGTGAGTGAACACTTAAGTAAATAATACGAAACAATATTAAACTACTAAAAAGAGAGGTAAAATTCCTATCCATTGTTACCGTAAAATTGTTATCAGCAAATTCTATAGTCACATGGGCTCAAAGATATGTCTCATCCAAACTTGTTCCCTAGGTCAAGGAGCCCAGAGCCAGGGTACCTGGGAGACATGGTCAGCATCACCAGTGGACATACACTCTGTGCCCATGCTATCACTAACACTTCCAGCCAAAGAGGAGGGAGAAACTGTTAAATTGCACAGGGCGATGAGAGGAAAGGCTTCACTAATTTTACCTGTTAAGACCAAACATCCAGCAAAGTCTGAGAAAATATGCAAATCATTACTGCATTTTTTTTTCTACTCAATGTCTTGAGATTGTATGGAAATTCAAGGTGACCTGATCTTGTCACATACTTTAACTTTCTGATCCAAATTTGCTGAAAGGGAATAAACATCAAGCTTACACATTTTTTAAAGAAGGAGCAGATAATCACAACTGAATTAGAAGACGGCTTAATGGGCATGCACTTTATTTTTGTTTTACTTTTTAAAATTTCTGTGAGCTGTTCTAGCAAGCTAAAGGGCCAAAACTTTACTGTCATAATTCCATGTTCAGCCAGGGATTTTTCAGAGAGTGAGGTGTGCAGCGTCCAGATTCCCCTTTCTGTGGATAGGGATCCTTGCCCCGTGTCTTGAACGTACCTAAGAACTACAGGAATTCCCCATGTGCCTCCTACAGTTTTTCTGGTAGTGTTGGGCAATGGATTCTGAAGGTTTCTGAAACTTTGCTAAATTCCTCTTAATTCCAGAGGGAAGGCCAAAATACTGAGAATATACTCAATGATATGATGAGTTTCCACTCTACTTCCTTATCCTCAAGACACACACCAGAGTTCTACTGGGTGAGGACAGGGAAGTATGATGTCCCGACACACCCTCTTAGGGTTTTCATGCATTAATCCCCCCATATGAGCTGATGCTTGGAACTGCCTTTAGTTCTCTAAGTAAAAGTCTAAAAATGCACCTGTGGTTTCTGAACTTGGTTATATACTGATACATAAGGACTACCACAGAAGTTACATGCCTTAATCCTGTAATACTTTTGTGTGGTATCATCGAGAAGTAGTTATTCTGCTAATATATTGTCTACAGAATGAAACCCCAAGTTACACAGCGCAATAGTATTCATCAAGCACTCCATCTCCGCAGGTTACACAGGTGCTAAAGTATCTCTCCCCTTAGGCAAAGTCCAGACACATCTGTGGCAAGTGCACATAAACAAAAATGGGCAAATTTTGAAAGTGAATGTAAACAACTTAATTCCAAAATACATAAACATGACAGAAAAAATGGTTCTCTAACATAGGCCATATTTTTATCAATATAAAGGAATGAAAGAAGTTTTTAAATACAAAAAACTTTGATCTTCAAGACTAAATCCAGACTTACCTACAAATAAATAAATGTTCCAACAACCAGGGGAAAATGCGTTTTTTTCCTAAGTCTCACTAAATCGTTCTGCATTCTGGATCTTGCTTCTCCTATCACCAATTCCTAATGTTATGTTAGGAATGTAGAATTGTCTGCTCTTGGGGAAAAAAAGCATCTGTTTTTAATTCAAAGCTCTCGAGTATAGAAAAACTATGGTTTTAGCTATCTGTGTGTCTGGGTTTATAAAACATGCACCAATGTACACTTTTTCCTTATAGATTGAATGCAACTATGGAAATATTAGCATAAAATATGTGGCCTGGAAGGAATCTCTGATGACACTGAAGAACCTCAAGTTCCCAACATGGCTAGGAGCTAAGAGAAGGAGATACTGCACATCTTGAAAGCTGAATTAGCAGCTGAGATTTTAGTATTTGAAAGCAAATAACATAAAGCGAGTAATGACTACAGTGGGTCTCAGATACCATTTTGCTACTTATTTAGTACTCAATTAACTTGGCAACTTTTACAAAAAATATTCACATCACAATATGCACTTAAAAAACAGTAACTGTAATGATGCCATTGTCAGCAAGGCCAGCTTGCACACCAGAGTTAAGAATAGGAGTGCCTGTCTGCCTAGGGTTTAACATTCAAAGATATGTATCATCTGTGTTTTAAGGTTAAATTTTATATGACCCAGTTTTCCTTCTCTGTTCACTACACACTAAAATTAAATGCCTCTATGCTGTGCAAGAAATCACTTTGTATGATTTTACTGTTTCAACCAATCCACAGACCCTGGGGACTTGGTAGAAGAATTCAGGAGAAGTGCTACCTAAAATGATTGAGCTATTGCTATTTCTACCTTCTGTTCAACTCAAGTACTTCCAGGGACTAGACGAGGGAGTGTGAGGGCAACTGTGACTGACTCTAGGTAACCAGCTATTCTGCTGTGACAGAAGAAACCAGGTAATACCTGATTTTCAAAAGGTAATTTTAACTCTGCCCTATACTACTTTTAGTATAGTTTGGCCTCACCTTAATAGCCATATCCCTCATCTTAGGTAGAAAAACCAAACTGGTTTAAAATTACTTGATCTATGTCACTGAAACCTGAAATATGCCATCACTAAGAAAGACCCCAAATAAAAAATAAAGAACTAAAAAACACAACCAAACCAAATCGACCACAAAACTCCATTCTCTGTATCATACTTTAAAACAAAAATAGAAATCCCTGTGTCACAAATGCTTGCTCAGGGCTGTCAACTTCTGTTTTTCGCCTGAGAGACATCTAACATCTAAAAGCACAAACTATGCTTGTAAAAACCAAAAAGTAAATCTCTACATAGGACAGTACTTATAAGCAGGCCTATTGATACTACCTATGATATAATTAGTCTGTTTTCTTTTGAAAGTATCAGAGCAGAAACATCTTTGGTTAACTCTTTGCTCTACATGCAGTATAAAATATTCTTGCATGATGAGACTGTTTATCTCTGGATCCTGATGAGTTTGTCCACACCATTTAGAAAAGGGGGCAACACACTGGAAAGGTTGGGAAAAAATGGAAGGAATCAAGAAAGAGAGAAAAAATTCAGTTGCCACATTCTCACTGTCAGTTTCAACTGCCAGCAGAGAAATGCCAATAAGAAATAAAATCACATACATGTACCACAGTCATAGCCTCATCAGCTTTTCCAATGATTACTTCTACCATATTTCTGACTAAAGGGGTTGGGATTTAAAGCTAGCTACTTTTAGCACAATTTTGCTAATGCAACAGAAAAAGTATAATTTCTTCATTATCCTCCAACCCTCCTGCCAAAAATGTGAGATGAAAAGAGCAAAGTAGAATGGCAATTTTTTTTTTTTTTTTTTTTACTATCTCCAGTAATGGATATAAGCAAAGAATGGCAATGTTTAAGAGATGTTTTAAAAATCTGTCAGACTCATCATTATCATCCAGTTTATCCACTCTTACTATAAGGAGAGAAATATGTGATTAACATGACAAATCTTTGAACCAGTACACAAGCATGTCCCCATAATTTTTTCCCTATTACAAAATATTTTTAAAATGAAAATTAAATAACCTATCTTGGCTTGTTAAAGACTGCCAATCCTTGGATTGTACATAGGGAAGGCAAGAAGACTCTGAGGTGTCACATGCCAAGAACATATTTTCAGAAAATGAAGATAGGCAAGGCCCAAGTGTACATGAGGCACACAATAGAAAAGGAATTTCAGCATCTGTGATCTTTAAATTACAAATGGAGAATGAGAAAGAATGAGTCTATATAAGCATATGTCTCTCTATATATTTATAAATATTTATATAATTTATCATGAAGACATGCAAGTAGTGTTACAGCAACTATTATACAATATAATACAGAAGGATTGGTCTTCCAATATTACAGTTGCTTCAGATAAACAGCAAATATGTCTTATCTATTGCATCCCTCTGTAGTGTTTGAAACTGGAGAGAAATTAAGATTCCACACTATGCTACATTTCTTTTAAGAGACGTTATATGCCTCAGTAGTGTTTTGAGTTTGTTTTTTTAAAAAGCTCAACACAGATAAAGAGAACAAGAGAAGTTCAGTGCAGCTTCAGGGCAGCTTTGATGCAGCATTAGAAGATGTTCACTTGGGGGAGGAAATGTATTTCTTTTTTTGTTTGTTTCCCAATTCAACCATATCGGGTTTGGCAGCAAATACAAGGTCAAACAAAGCACAGATGTTTGCTAGAAGGCAAATTTCAACAACAAGCAGACCAATTTACCTGACCTTTTACAACACAAAACACCTAGAGAGTATAAAAGAGCCCATTTAAAATGTCTGGTATACTTTCATTTTGCCTGATTCCTGTTAGAAGAGTGAGATTAGAACAAGTATCTTCGTCTTTACAGCTTCATAAATTGAGATTATATGAAAATCAGGCCAAGAAGCCCAAATATTGAACTAAAACACAGGAGAAGCAGGTAATAAAACATTAAAAGAGAAATATTTAGCCTAAATTTATTTCCCCAGATATTAATTCCTTATTGGCTAAATGTATAAAATACAAAGTTTGAGGATTCTAAGCCTCGGTAATACATCTAATTTATTTCTAAATCTCAAGTCATATTCCAAAGCATTGTGCTTCCCTAGTATCATCTTGGAGGCTGATATTAGAAACAGCTGGAACTCAGAAGACTTAAGGAAGCAGTCTACTCTGGTCAGTTTTCTTTCTACTCAAGTTTCTAAAGGAGGACACTTAACAGGGAGGAAGGGGGTTCTTCTATCTTGAAGGCTATTCCCCCACATTTTCTTTCTCTCCCTAAACACTAAATCCTGCAAAGTAGCTCTAGTTAGACTTTTCTTTCCTTTACCTAAGTTTCTTATTTTTCATAATAAAAACATAGTAAGTTAAGAACTGTTGCTCTAAAAAAAAAATCAGGGAACTAAAAAAAAGTAATTGGATTTGAAAGTACAATTAGGACCATAAAATAAAAGCAGAAAGACTGAATCAAATAAGACATACTAAACTTAAAAAAAATCTGAAGTCCAGGGAGGGTACTAGAAATGAGGCAAAGTAAAGGTGCTCATTCTCAATACACAAAATAAACACACATGCCAAATATACGGTACTGGCTCCCTGGCAACAGACTTCTTACATAATACAGTATCTGATCAATGACTCTGCAGGGTGGGAAAGTTTTGAATGAAAATATCAAACAAGAAGTTTCACTTTTGCTATTTAATCTTTGAGGTGAAGCTTAAATAAATTAGGCAAACTCCCTAAAATTCCATTCTGTCTCCTGTCCTCAACTCTTTTGTTTCAAAGGCAGCTTAAAAATGAGAGCTCATATTAATGAGTTTCTCCCCCTTGGATTTTTGCTCTATTTTTTGTACAAAGACATTGATTCCTGATCTGCTTGCTGCCTGCCTTAGGTAATTCCTTATCATGTATTTATGTCTTCTTATAAATAATGATCATGTTACTTTCTTTTGCAAGAGAAGATCAACACTGATTTTTTTAAACAGACAGTACAGGGACACACATGCATCAGGGTTAGGAGGAAGATCTCACACCTTTCAAAGAGATGCAGCCTGGCTCCTATCTGCTGAGTTTACTGGCTGGCTTACTCTTCCCTGGGGTGGTTTTAGTGTTGGCTGAGTGGTGGTGGAGGCTGCCAGATCCTTTCAGGCCATTCTTGCTGGGTTTGCAATGCTCCTGTTGGCAGGACCTCCTGGAGGATGAAGATCCTGAGTGGCTGGGAGGTGACTTGCTTCTCCCCAGATGTGGGGATGAACTCCTCTGGTCATGGTGGGGCCGTCCAGCCCTAGATGGTGAGGAACTAGACGTGCGAGGCAAGGATGAGCTTCGAGGAGAGGCACTGGGACTCCTGCGAGGGACAACTGGACTCTTGGGTGGTGTTTTGGGGTTGTGAGGAGATCCTGGACTCTTGCACTGAGTAGTGCTCCGGGGTTTCTGAGATCCATTTTGAAGAATTTGGGCCAGGCGGGAGAAAAGGTCTGAGTCAGAGTTACTACTCCCTAGGACTTTATATCTGCGTAACCTTAAAAGAACAGAGAAAATATATTTTAATTTTAATTCATTTTGAGTGTGCCTAAAAAGTCACAACGTCCCAAATCATAATGTGAATGATGTGTATGGAAATCAGAAAATAGACTAACAGGATAATGGGTTATTCTTTCATATGCTAGTTGTATGAGCCTGGAAAAATTCTTTAACCTCTCCCAGCTTTCAATGGGAAAACTGTCTATCTCACAGGGTCGCTGGGCAGACCAAGTGCAGTGACCCAAGTACTTATATGAGCATCTGCCACAAAGAAGCCCTTAAATGATATTAGTTACCTTCCTCCTACGTCATGTTTACTCTGCTAATTTTCAGATGAATTTAAGTGTTTCTAGGATGTTAGCATACAAGACAGAGAGTAAACCACATTGTGTAAGGATACTAGGACAGGGATCCTGCAAACACGAAATCCCACAATGTACGTCTTTTTTTAAAATTTTCTTTTTTCTGCCAAGGATCTGTCACCCAGAAGTCTTCAACATGAACTACACTCAGCAAGAGTAGGAACTACAGATAAATGTATATTCTACTCATTTAATAATTTCCAAGAGAAAAGAGTAGTTACTGGTTTCTATGGATCACAGTTTCTATTCCTGTCAATGGTCTGGGATTAAGGAGGGTGGATGCAGGAACTGACTGCCCAACACCCCCCCCATATACCAGCAACTGAGCTTGGGTCTCAGATTTTTTTTTTAAACAGGGTCTTGCTCTGTCGCCCAGGCTGAAGTACAGTGGCGTGATCACAGATCACTGCAGTCTAGACCTCCTGGGCTCATGCAATCCTCCCACCAGAGCCTCCTGAGTAGCTGGGACTACAGCTGTGCACTTGTAGTGCACATCTTGATAATTTTTGTATATTTGTAGAGACAATTTTGCCACATTGCCCAGGCTGGTCTCAAACTCCTGGTCTCCAGCAATCCTCCTGCCTCAACCTCCCAAAGTGCTGGGATTACAAGCATGAACCATAGCGCCTGGCCCTTGGGCCTCAGAATTCTAAGAGTATTCATATGAATCGCAAACATCTCTTCGCCCTAAATGTCTTTCCAGTTTGGCCAAAGAATCAAAGAAAATGGAACATTAAAAAGTGTTTTTATAAACTATAAAGCAATGGTCCCCAACCTTTTTAGCACCAGGGACCAGTTTTGTGGAAGACAATTTTTCCACGATGGGGAAAGGAGGGGCAAGGATGGTTTTGGGATGAAACTATCCCACCTCAGATCATCAGGCATTAGTTAGGTTCTCAAAAGGAGTGCGCAACTTAGATCCCTCCCATGTGCAGTTCGCGCTCCTATGGGAATCTGATCCCACTGCTGATCTGATAGGAGGCAGAGATCAGGTGGTAATGCCTCCTACTGTGGTGTCCTGGGGTGGGGGGGGAGCCTGCTATAAAGCAGTCTACAATGTATTTTAGTGGCAATGCCAACTTATATAGTGAGAATGACCCTAGGGCAAAGAAACAGACAAATAAATAGAACGGAGCATTGAATCCAAAAATATCCCCATGTTTCTACAGGAAATCAGTATTGAGATATCATTAACTACTTGGAAAAAAACTTTGCATCATATGTAATAATAAACTTTAGTCAGACAATCAATTTATACACAAAGCACAAAATTATAAAGGTACTAGAAATTACTACCTTTTAAAAAATATTAGGGTTGAAGTACCTTCCTATGCATGATATAAAACACAATTAATTTAAAAAATCAGTTCCATGAACACTAAACAAAAGGCACTACAACCGAAGTTAAAATTCAGACTAGGATAAAACATCTTCAATATAATTTGCAGAGAACGGAGTTAATTACAGAAAGTAACCCAGGCCGGGTGCGGTAGCTCACACCTGTAATCCCAGAACTTTGGGAAGCTGCGGCAGGTGGATCACTTGAGGTCAGGGGTTCGAAATTAGCCTGGCCAACATGGCAAAACCCTGTCTCTACTAAAATACAAAAAGTTAGCTGGTCACGGTGGTGGGTGGCTGTAATCCCAGCTATTTGGGAGGCAGAGGCAGGAGAATTGCTTGAACTTGGGAGGCAGAGGTTGAAGTAAGCCGGGATCACACCACAGTATCACAGCCCGGATTACAAAGCAGGACTCTGTCTCAAAATGAAGAAAAAATAAAAAGTAACCCAATAGAATGTTTTGACATGAACACAGCCAACAACTCATAAAAGGATCCTCCTACCTCAGCCTCCTGAGTAATAGGGACTACAGCTGTGTACCACCTTTGACAGGCTAATTCTTGTAGCGATGAGGTTTCACCTTGTTGCCCAGGCTGGTCTCAGACTCCTGGGCTGAAGCAATCTGCCTACCTCGGCCTCCCAAAGTGCTGGGATTAGAGGTGTGAGCCACCGCATCTGGCTCTGAAAAGCACTCTTCACTGGTTTACCACCTCCCAATATTTTCCCCTCTTCCTCAAAATATAAACATCCTGTGGTCAAATATATCAAGAGAATATTTAAATAAAAAGCATAGCATGTAGTAGATACTAAAGCAGTCTCTTTAGTATGTATGGCTGTATATAGTAAAGGCCTAGGGAAATCTTCCATAGGATTTTTTTGGTTTAATTCATTATAATGAAGATAAACAGCATTGTTACCAGGGTCCATTTATCAAATCATGGACAATGTATTCTTCACTAGCATTTGACATCATAATGGTATTATGGGACATAATGGGATTCTGACTGAACAAAGCTAGAAAATTACTGATTATCCAAATGCAGTTGGAGACAGGCATAATCTTTACTGCATGCTAGGCAATGTACTAAGTCCTAGATGTATGTGGCTTTATTTCACCCTCCCAAAACTCTTAAGCAAGTATTTTGCCCATTTCATAGATGAGGAAATGGAGGTTCTTACTGCTAGAAAGTAGGACAGCCAAAAATTAACATGGATCAGAGAAAATTCTGGGAAGACAGTAGAGTAGGAAACACCAGGAATCTCTCTCCCCACCTAGGCAACTGCACTGGCAGACTCTTGGAAATCTGGAGTCTACCAAAGGCTTGCAACTTCCAGGAAAAGGCCTGTACTGTCAATTACAGTTAATTTTAGTCTATTTCAGATCTTAGCACAGTAACAGCTACCCATCCCCCATTCTCATAAGGAGTGCACAACCTAGATCCTGGGCGACAGAGGAAGACTCTGTTTAAAGAAAAAATGGCTGGAAACTCCCCAAAAGTCATAAAAGACATGAATATACAACATCTCAGAAGCTCATCCCCAGCCCTGTGGCAGGCAACTGTGCACTTACTTCTGGAGCAGTTTGCACACAGCTTACAAGAACCAGGTGGGCAAAAAGAACCCTGTCCTCCAAATACTGGGGATCTGTGCTCTGATTACTCATTGCTGCCTCTTAGTACAGAAGGGCAGAGAAAGATGTGGATAGTCAGTCTTATACGTTTTCCCCAGTGTTAGAAACTGGTTCTCCTCTGACTGAAGTGACTGCTAGGGGTTTAAAATGGCCAGTGCTCTTTTTTCCCTTCCATCATTTTTTTTTTCCCTTCTTGGGAGCCAGATATTAAAGACTTGTATATTCAAAAGCAACCACATATACTGGGGAAATGAGAAAGCTACTATGTTTATTCGGGAAAAAGTACAGACTCAGAAACGGTCCAAGACCTTAGGTTTACATCTCAGGCTGGTCCTCAGCACAAAGACAGTCTATACCCATCAACAAACAAACAAACAAATTAGCCAGGTATGCTGGCATGCACCTGTAGGTCCAGCTACTGGGGAGCCTGAGGCAGGAGGATCACCTGAGCCCAGGAGTTAGAGGCTGCAATGAGTCATGATTATGCCACTGTACTCCAACCTGGGTGACAGTGAGACTGTCTCAAAACAAAAAGAGGCCAGGTGCCATGGCTCATGCCTGTAATCCTAGCACTTTGGGAGGCCAAGGTGGGCAGATCATGAGGTCAGAAGATTGAGCGCATCCTGGCTAACACAGTGAAATCCTGTCTCTACTAAAAATACAAAAAAGTAGCTGGGTGTGGTGACACATGCCTGTAGTCCCAGCTACTTGGGAGGCTCAGGCAGGAGAATCATTTGAACCTGGGAGGTAGAGGTTTCAGTGAGCCAAGATCATGCCACTGTACTCCAGCCTAGATGACAGAGTGAGACTCTGTCTAAAAAAAAAAAAAGAAACAAGAAACAAAAATAAATAACCCCCAGCAAATCCCAAGGAAAGGGGAAAATCTGATTTTCAGAGTTACCACATTATTAGATTCAAATATCCAATTTTTAATAAAAAAATCAAAACGCATACAGAGAAACAAGAAGATATGATCCATTCAAAGGAAAAAAAAAATAGATCAACAGAAACTGTACCTGAAAAAGACCTGATGGCATATCTACCAGACAAAGACTCTGAAACAACTATCTTAAAGATGCTGGACGAACTAAAGATATAGAGAAAGTCAAGAACACAATGTATGAACAAAATGGAAATATCAATAAG